CCTTTCCAATTGTAGTCCATCAAATATCTACTATATTTCACAACCAACTCTTGTTTGCTTGTTTCATATAAAGGATGTATATGGTAGGCCATTTTGTCTTTTAGCAGTTCCGATGGTCTACATACTTAACAGTCATTGTGTATTATATTTATCTTAGGTGGAGAGGGGTGTCCTTGTTAATGAAGCCAAAAATGCATTGCTTGATCATTCATGGTTCAGATATATTCATTTTGCAAATATAGTCTTGTTGCTTCTATTGCTAAATAATCATTAGAAGAATTGGCTTCAGTCTTCATTGTTTTTATCATATTCATGATCCATATATGTTCAGTTTTGGTACAATGCTTATAATACGTTTGAAGCGCATACCATCTCCAGGAGTCCAAAAATTGTACAAAATTCAAAAGTTACTATTTGAAACTCATTAGTTGAATTTGCAAATGCCAAGGTGTGGCTTCAAGTATCATCCTGAGAAATTAACCCTTATAATCTTTGACCAATTTTTAAGAGGTCTAATAAGAAGTTCAGTGCTAACCCTGTACTTAAATACGTCAAGCAGTGTTTACCTTTTTTACAAACTTGCTTCTGTTGAATGATTTCCAGGTCATCATTGATGATGGGGCTCTTTGTTGCCTGTGTGAAATGTTGACACGAAATTCCGATATCATTGCCACGGAGTCCACTTGTTATATCATTTCAAATATCATTGGACGGAGTAACGATCATATTCAGGTATGCAAATTACGATGGAATAGTTTTTGCCTTTGTAGCATTACTCTATGCATTCATAGTTAATGCTTTGAGATAAGTAAATATCAATTGGAGAAGGGGGAGGAACAATGTTACAGCAAAGAAGTTTTTAGTTTCCACCAGTCAATTATTGTTTTGAACATCAAGATTGATGATTTTTCTCTTGCCGTCCTTCAAAAAATTTTCTTGTATTAGTAACTCTGTTTTGATGAATTTGACATTTGTTCTGTTCTTGTTTGTAATTTAAAATCTTCCATTAAATCTGTTTATCTTACAAAATTAAGATGCCGAGGAGCTGCCATCTTAATACTGTTGGAATTTAGGGATATATAAAAAGATTAAAATGTGTGAATTGGAAAAAGTCTTCAATAAGTGCATCAGTTGGGTGTTACTCTTTAAGTGCATAACAAAGAGTCATGACCTTTGATAAAGATGCAATCTAGACCATTAATTTTAAAAGAAGCATTGCATCTTAGGAGACAAAGATATATTTGATCCTATTAGCACCAGTGTAGGGAGCAAAATCCATTTTAAGGAGATTTGCATTCGCATGTCTCGCTTTATTTCATTTCCTTCTAGTTTTTGCATTTTTTTTAAATGTCAGTGAGATGTCATTTTACTTATTTTTCATGCACATTTTTTATTTAAATCGTGCATGTGAATATAATTAAGCACCAATTTATCGAATAATCTTAAGATGGATTTTCATGTTAATTTATATACTGATAGTCAAAATCAGTTTACGTGGATGCACAGATTTAGTTTATGTTTGTTTTTTGACTTTGTTATTCGTGCATTATTCTTTCATATGACTCGATTACTTTATTATGCATTGTTCATCCATAATACTAGTTTACTTGAACGTTGTATCGCATGACGAGAACATATTCTTAATTCTGGAATTGATATTGTACATATGTTCTGTATATTGAAAGCATGTCAAAGAACTTTTTCTTTAATTTTTCTTTGATTTCTTGGTAAACTAAAAAGATATTGAAGCATTTGGATTCTAATTTTCTACTTGTTCTATTTAAAAAGATGCATGCATTAGTAGTGAAATTTATTTACGCTTCTCTAATTACAGAATTTGAGTCGTGGCAAGGGGTTGTAGGGGGAATAAAGCAATGCCTGTTATATGTATTCTAACTGCCCTCATTGAAATTTGGTGGCTAACCATCATGTATCTTCTTTTAAGAAGTGCAATTTCTTGAATTTCATTTATCAACCTCGAAGATAATTAAAATGACAGTATCCACTAGGAACTGACTGGTGAAACGTCACTAGGCTGAAGGGTATAGGGAAAAGTGAATGTGGGTGATTTGGCTTATGTGGCATAATTTTAAAGGAGTTGTGCACACTATATGATTAATTTCATATGTATCCTAAAGTTGTGGAATAGCATTTCTCCGTATTATTGTGTGTTTCGCACATTTTTTTGACTCATCCAACGTGGTGTAACTCATGTCTCAATTTTGGTCTATATGACGAATGTGATCATATCTGTATGCCCAATTAAACTTGGGTGAGGCTGCAATTTTATTTATTATTATTTTTTTAAAGATGACTTTTCACTTTTATTTTGTGAGTTGAAATTCTTAAATATGATAATGAATGGGCTTTTATATGACATTGACATTCCTAGTCATTTTATATGTTGACTAGAAGTAGAATAAAATTGTTTATGAGGTAGATAAACATAATTATTGATATGATCGAACTTTATATGCATACTTAGACGAATATTATATTACTAAGTTGAGTCTTATCTAGAATTGTGGGGGTACTATTGTTATTTGTAAGATACTATCAATTAAAGTTCAGATGTACCCCCGAACTTTAGGGTAGTATTGCTTCATTCAAATTAGAATTTGGAATATTTGAAATGATAAATCGCGCGGTAGTGAATACCTTGTTAAAATTAAGATGTGCACAATGTTGAAAATTGGATATCCAATGCAAGAATTCAAAATCTACTAATAATTTTGTTTTACTATTGAAAGTGGAGTTGTTCGTGAAAATCCTCAATACAATGTGAAAATTGAAAGAAAATAGAGCTTTCAATAAAATTAGAAGGAAGCACGATGACTTTAAAGATTTTAGAAGAATTTTCTAATTTGTGACAAATTGTGCTTGCTATATCATTTGTTTGAGATAGCTAGCTACCAATATGTTGGCACAGAATGTCATGTATAATGGCAAGTTTTGATATATAAATTGTAGGCATAATATTATTTGGCAGTTACTCTCGAATGGAATAATACCAACTGTTTTATTGGAAAATAAACTCTTGAATCCGTTTATAAAGAGGTTATCTAGAGAGTGAATAATTTGCACATCGAGGAAAATGGGTATAAAGGCTACATTAATGTTCAGTTTAATGGAAACCTAACTTGGCGACCGGAGATCCCACGGACTAGGTTCAATAGGAAAACTAGCTATGATTGAATTGATGAAAAGCATTTCGAAGTTTTAACTCCTTCCCATTTCTATGATGCAAATAAGTGTTGCCTACCAAATATTGGTTAGGATAATTCATGTTTTTAATGATGACTGTATCTTGTAAACAGTACAAATGAAGTATTGTAATGTACTCTTTATAGAATATCACCTATGTGAGTGTGAGCTTGGCCAGTTCTATGAGAATTTTACTTGTGCAAATTCTCTAACACAGTTGTAGATCCAAGAAGGTTCAGGGCAAAAATAATGAACACAATAGATAATCAAAGTTTGATATGAGATATAATGTGTTCGATCTATTGTTTAGACTTACAATAATGGTCAAACGTTGCATTTGTTTATTAGTCAAGTGAGTTCGATAGATTTCTACTAGGGTAGAATCAAAGCAAAAGTTACCGATCCTAATGTATTATATTTCAGTTATACTTTTCGTCTTTCTTGTTCTGAGTTGATTTCTTCCATTCATGTGAGAGACTGATTGGAATTTAAAGGTATATAAAAAGATTAAAATGTGGGAATTTAAAAAAAAATCTCCAATAGGTGCATCGTTTGGGTGCGACTCTTCAAGTGCCACATATGCATAACAAGGAGTAATGACCTTTGCCAAAGATAAGACCTAGACCACCAATCTTGAAATGGTGAGATTTAATGGTTAAATAATTTGTGCCAAAAGATGCGACCATTCGAAGAAATACATGAAATCTATAAATTGGATCCTCTTAATTTCGTTTTCTTCAATCCTAATCAATTTCAAATAATTAAAGTGTTGGTTCGTTCGATAATTAATATTATGCTATATTAATTTTTATTACTGTGGGTGTACGTTCACCTCGATTAATTCCACGGGACTCTGAAATTTACAGCTGGGTACTCACCTTAATGGCCTAAGGGACTCGATTTGATGGCCATTGGGAAATAAACCCAAGACCTGACCACTGAACTATCCCTCAATGTTAATATTAATAAGGCGAGAGAGGCTCAAACTCTCGACCTCAAGATCACTCTTTTGCACTATGCTACGATAATTTTGGAAGAACTATTGTATATTGAGAGATAGATGTCCATTTGATCCTATTCGTACCAGTGTAGGGGGACGAAATCCATTTTAATGAGATTTGCACAGGCATGCCTCACTTCATTTATCTTCTTATAATTTCTGCATTTTCCTAAATGTTAGTAAATTGTCATTTTAATTATTTTTCATGCACCTATCTTTATTTTGGTAAGGCAAAATATTATTCGATAATTTGCATGTCAATAGCAAACAAAATCATGCATGTATTATAGTGAATGGAATATAATGCACCAATTTATCCAACAAATACACAGGCTGTCATTGAGGCTGGTATTATTTCTCCTCTTCTCCAATTGCTTCAAGATGCTGATCTTTTTAAAGCTGCTAGTGAGGTTATATATAACATGATGACTAAGGGAACTAATGAGCAAATCAAGTAAATTCTTCATAGCTTTGTCATATTCTTGTAGCTTATTGTACATTTAGGTTGAGTATTAATGCTTCATCTTTGTGGCAGGTTCCTGGTACATGAGGGTTGTATAGAGCCAATGTGCGACCTTCTAGTTAATCCCAATGAAGCGCATGTCATAAAAACCTGCTTGGAAGGCCTTGAGAACATTTTGAAGGTTGGAGAAGCTGAGAAGAACCAAGGTAACGTTGAAGATGTGAATGTCTTTGCTCAGATGATTGTTGATGCTGGGGGTCTACAGAAGATTAAGAACCTTCAGACACATGACAACAGTAAAATACGTGAAAAGGCCAAGAAGATACTTGAAACATATTGGTAGGGAAAGGATGATGAGTGATGTAGGACATATTGGAAAAAAATGTACTAGTAGAGGGAAAATATCATAATTTCAAATTGGGTTCATAAGACCATTCCGAAAAGAGAACGATGAGAGGAAGAATACTCATCGTTATGCTGTGATGTACGATGAATTTTGGCCATTCGAGTTCGTTTAGAACTCAAAAATGAATTTTTAAAGTTTTGGCGCTATTTTTGTCATCTCATTTATTTTTTTTTGTTTATTATTATTATTATTATTTTCAATTTTAGTTTGTCTAAACTTTGTTTTCTACAATTTTAGTTGTTTTTTCCATGTAAACCCTTATAAATAAGGGTTAGTTAGTTTGTTTTTCATTATCAAAAATTTGGTGGATTCCAAATTTCATATTCTTAAGGACTTCGCTTGAATTCCTTTTTTGCGCTGCGTCAAAGAGTAGCTGTCTTCTAGTCATGCTTCACAATCAAGGTGTATTTGTTGCAGAGTAATTGTTCTTTTCTTTCATTTTCTGCCATAAATTTGAAGGCATGTTTGGTACACGCTAATGGATTGGAGCACACAACTCAATGGATAAGATTTTGAACTCCTTTTTTTTTTTTTTTTTTTTTTTTCTTTTTTGCCCACTATACTCTACCAAACATGGCTAACGGCTTTAAAAACATCTGCTCCCCAAAATCTGGATATGGTCTTCAAGTGATCCATCGAGGCGAAAGAAATGTTCAAGCTAAAATAGGAAAATATATAGCAAGTTTTTTTTTAATGAATTTGGAGTCAATAACATCTCATGTAAATATACCCATGAAACATTCATTTGGAAAAAATATCGTCCAATTGATACAAACCATTTGAACTTTGGAAAAGGACAAAGATAAGCTAAACAATTGAGAATGAAGATATTAACAAAGCACTAGAAAAACGAATGGTGGACATGAAATGTAGATATAATTACGTGGTACTTTTCAAGAATAAGGGGTGGGAATTTTATTTGGAATTACACTAATCGTACAAGAGTCAAACCGAATAGCTGTTCTAGTTTGCAGCCTAGAATAACATGATGGAACATCTAATAGATAATATCACATAAAATAAGAAACTTATATTATATAAACATATTAAATAATATTTTAAATTTGATTATACCAATACCAATTGGGACAGCGGGGCGATGCCCATGTCCTCATCCTCAACAGGAGACAAATTGTTGGCGTGAGTTGTCAATTAGAGAGAAATCAAGGGAGATTGGAGGCCATTAAGGATGGACCTTAAATGAGAAATCCTTTCCTTCAATAGCTATCCAAAATTATAGCCATGAAATCTGTACAGGCGAGAATAGCTTTAACATTCTGCCTATATATTCTTGTATTGAATAATTGTAAATTAGAAAAATCAATAAACACAAAAGACAATTTTCAGACACAAATATCTTGCCCTAACCCCATAAGATTCCCACTTCAAGTGATTTAAACATGTAAATGATTTTTTCGTAAATATAAACAGTAGTAATTAGGTTCTAATTTCTTTTTCTCTTCGTTTTTTTCCTTAAATTTTCAATATTACTGTAATTACTTTAAACTCTCACTAAAACAATATCATATTGCATAATTTACTTTTTTTTTCATTATATACTATCATTAGCTTTTAATTAATTTTCAAAATTCATAGAAGTTTTTGCCTAATTTTCTAGGATGTAATCTCATCTTTCCTGATTTGAGTGAGGATTACATACTAATTTGAAAAAAAAAAAAAGGGGTTATTATTAAAAATTATTGATTATGCTTATTCTATCCCTTGAACAAAACAATCATCGTCATATATTATATACTCAGTGTCTTAGTTCATTCTGAAATTGCTCAATTTCTCACCATCTTCATAGGCACACGTCTCTAACTCAAAATGACCTTATTTTTGTTAATCACTACAAATTTCAGTTTTTCGCATGTGTACCAATTTTCAAGTTTCTTTAAATTAAAATTTTCAATTAATTTGTGATTATTGTAGACTGCGACATATTCGTCGTCAAGTATGCCAAACATTTCTTTCATAGGTAGTGTTGACCATGAAATCTTTTTGATTAAGGTAGTGTTTGATAGCATGAAATTACAAGGAAATGGAATTCCAATTCCATCTTTTCCATTTTTTTGTTGTTGGGTAGCACAATTATTTCCATGGAATTCCAATTCTTGATAGTATTGGAAAGTGTGGTTTTCCCTACTGTAGCAATTTTTTTTTTTTGGGTAATGGAAACAAATTCTAAGAATTATTGTAAAAAAATATTTCCCTTTAATTGACAATTTTTATGTAAAACAAAGCCAAACGAACACCCAAAAATAGTTTAATTTCTTGAATATATATATATATATATATATATATATATATATATTTTTTTTTTTTTTTTTTTTTTTTTTTTTTTTTTTTTTTTTTTTTGGCAATGGAAACAAATTTCACCAATTTAATTAACAATTTTCATGAAAACAAAGCCAAATGAACATCAAAAGACACTTTTATTTCAAGATTTTCCACGTGAAAAATTATACCAATCAAACACAATAATTCACAATTCCCAGGAAAACAATTCTAGGCAATTCAATTCCCTGAAATTCGTTTTCTAGGCAATTCAATTCCATTTTTGCAACCAAATGGACCTTAAGTGTTGTTATCCGTTTTACAAACCAAGCAGTCTATGTTTGTTAGACGCTCTATGTTATTTTGTGAATGCTATTCATTTAGTAGTCTTTCACTACTAAGTGATCTACTATTGCTGTATGGGTATGTTGTTTATTTATCTTATATATCAGCACGAATTAATGATATTTTTTAATGTTATGTTAACATGTTTCATAGTACGAATATTTCTATTGACATGTTAATAATTATTAGTTAGCCCTTATTTGATACAGTTAAAAAGTTGATAAAATAATAATTTCAAGTCAAGATTTAAATTGAATAATATATTTCATCAATTTTATCTAAATTTACAAAAAATTCTTTCTTTAGGAAAATCAAAGGGGGGCTTAATAACACACAAAAAACTAGTGGCATTAATTTATCCACAAGTCCGCATTGGATCAAGTGCTAGTGATCGAACATGAGAGCTGCTGGGTTCTTGTTGTCACGGAAAATAAGAAGGATCTTCAGAAATGGCCTTATTGAGACTTTGCATCATCGACTTCTACCCCTTCTTGGGCCATGATGATGAGGACATGTTATACCAACCATCAATGCCCTCATTGTACATGGACGGAATATGGTCTTGAATGTCTCAGCAAGCAATTATTAAAAAAGCTCCCCAATCTGCCACACAACAGCTATGCGACCATCATTTGACCCCATCCGTTGGGCATCACTTGAGTGGGGGACTCTCAATATTTCCCAAAGAATTTGGCCTCTGTTTCATTGATCACTCATGTATCACCTCACACTTCTTTGACAGGTTATCTGCGAGGTTAACAATGCTAGGGACCTGCAATCAAACACTTTCTGAAAGGTGAAGCATTATCAAATAGATCCTAGATAAATCTTGTAAAGTCAGCTATTGAGACTCAAACCCTGTTCTCTGTGCTCCTATATTTTTCAGTTAAAAACGTGTCTTTGGAAACACGCCTTTATAAAATGACAACTTCCACTGGATGATGACACTTGTCAAATTATCTACCGTTGGATGAGGCTTTGGTCCTTGGTGAAATAAATAATGCTAAGACGGTTCGTTTGGCCCCAAGACTTCATTTTCTAGCTTTTCATTTGAGAGAGTTCAAGAGAGTTCCTATTTTTCTCTCTGTGACTAAGTTTTCTGATTTTTTGCCATTACATTTGAACTTCTCATTTGAAAGTGACGGTTAGATGTTTTAGCCTGAGAATACTAGTGTTTTTCTTGAGTGAAAATTTGTAAGAATGAGAGGATTCTTATATTTGAGTTCGTGAAGGAAATCTATTGATTCTTGGGTGATTCGAGGCACATCTGTTATTTTCTTATGGAGATAAGTCTCTTTCTATGTATGCTTGTATTGGTTGAACATTTGTAATTTTTATTGCTAGTTTAAAGCGTTTTAGTGCAACCAAGCTATATTCATTTTTGAATGGATGCTCAACAGGGGATTAGGTATTAAAAGGGTCATCGAACCTCCAGGACTTCGGCTGAAAAATCTGCCGTGTTCAATCTTTAATTTCTATAAGCTTTACTTTTTGTTGTGTTGTTGATTGACTGTATCTTGCAATTAATATCGTGGTTCTGGGCCTTTTAGCTATATCAGAGCTTTGAACTGGGGGTAAGATGCTTGGATCTTTGAAGGAAGGTGTTGATCTACTGTAGATTTGAGTTTTTGGAACTGCTATTGAGCAGTATTGAAGGGCCTTTGAGTTTATAAAACTCGTTGGGTGAGATCTTTTAATTTTGTAAAGTTTACTACTCAAAATTTAGGGTTTCATGATTTTTCCCTTGATTTGCCATACACCTCAACTCCCTGGAGACTAATCTTTGTCCAAAAGCTCCTGGGAGACCTTGGGAATCTAAGATAAATTCAGTATGGGTGAGTATCTGGAGAATCTTGAACGAGAAGTCTCAAAAACATAGTATTTTTTATCTTTGTCATTGTGTTGATCATTTGACTTGTTCTGTATATCCTTTTGTGATTAAAATTTGCATAAATCTATGTCACTTAGGGCACTTCTGTGAAACGTGATTGACACTGCTGTGTGATTTTCTGCTTACTGTGTTGTGTTCATCCTGACTCTTATTTATGCACCGTGTATGGCATAATAAAATGGCTACTGCTAAATTTGAAGTTGTACAATTTGATGGTAAAATTGATTTTAACATGTGGAGTCAAAAGATGAAAGCTATTCTAATGCAAATGAGATGTGTTAGGGCTTTAAATAATAGTTGGTCTCAAGATATGAATTCTGCTAGGAAAACTGAACTTGAAGAGGTGGCCTGGAGTACTATCTTTCTGTACTTATCTGAAAATATGATAAGAACCTTTGGTGAAACTAAAATATCTTCCGAATTGTGGATAGAACTTGAAAAACAATATGTGACTAAGACAACACCAAACAAGTGTTATTTGCTAAAACAACTCGTTTCTTTTAAGATGGAGCTCTCAATTGACTTGGACAACCTAAACAAGTTTACTAAGTTGACCTAAGATTTGGCCAACTGTGTTGAAAAATTTTCACAAGATCAATTGGCTGTGATCTTGTTAAACTCCATTAGTGATAA